CACTATGTGACAAATAATTTACATTTATTCAGCTTTACGGTCGGTCTCTGTCTCTCAGGAGTTAAATGAATGATATATTTTATAATTGATATATTATCCGATAGCCTAATTTATATACAAGTTATATTCACGCTAGTTGAAATAAACAATAAAATAGTAGCCTATTTCCCATCATTGATGAGCGAGGGTTTTGTGAAAAATGAATTCAAGGCTTGTCCCATATAGACGCCTGTCTCAAACAGAGGCAGGGTGAGTTCACTGATTGAAGCAACTAATAGCCTGGGCTATTCATTGAAGTTTTACAGTATATGTATATATTATACGTGTGTAACTGCGGTTTCAGAGCTGGATGCACTGGGTGATGAGCTGCTGCTGGATGATGACAGCTCCTACCTGGACGAGGCCGCTGCTGCCCCGTCTATCCCTGAGGGAATCCCCAGTGACAGCAAGACTAACAAGGTAACAGTCTTCCGAGCACAGTGAACACTATCACTGACGTTCTACTCGAGGCACGGGTTGGAGAATTACGGTGCTGAAAATACGTGGAATTTAAATCAGAAAAGGCAAGGTGGCAACATGCTGTTGACTGTGATTGCAATTTTAAACTAATCTGTTTATCATACCCTTAGCATTGTCATTATTACTGCCACCAATGTGAAGTAAATGTTTTTGTAGTGAATGTGTGAAACTATTAGTGTCGTCTTTGAAGCTGTTTACATGCGGCTCTGATACCTCTGACTGAATTCACACTGTTTAACATGAATTAACTGAAAGAAAAATAACACTTGAAATATAAGTGTGTGTGTGTGTGTGTGTGTGTGTGTGTGTTAAGAGGTCTGTTTGTGAGTGCAGTCATTAAAGTGTTTCCATAATATACTTCTTTTGTTTTCAGGATGGTGTTTTGGTGGATGAGTTCGGCCTGCCACAGATTCCTGCCACATAAACAAGGAATGGATTAAAACAACTGCACTTCAACCGAAAACACTTTTATATGTAGAGTAACATTTATACATGCAAAACCATTTTACCTGAGAACACTACTATCTTAAGGCTGTCCTGGTGTTGGGTTGTGCTAGCATGTGGCCTTGTAACATACTGAACCTTTTTTAAAAACACTATTCCCCTTTTCTCCTTTTCATAGTAATAACACTCATCAGTCTGGTTCATCATTTGCCAGTATTACTCAGAAATAATTTATTTATATTATTATTTTTCGTCTAGATTTGTGTGTTTAGAGGTTACTATTGAGTTGGAGTTCCCTAAAGTGGAGATGATTCCCACAGAGCCTGTTCAAATATCTGCAGGTTTAACATGCAAAATAAATAATGTGTTTTAATTTAACCTTGAATTATTGACTTATTGATTACTCAATTCTCATTCTTCCTCTTTTTTTGTGGGTTTTTATTTCTTCCTCATGTTAGTTTTGATTCTTTGCTCTTTGGTACCTGAGCTGTGGATTAAACTGTACTCACAGACGTTTACGCTGCCAGCCAAGAGAACACAGAAGTATGCACTTTATTAGGAGATGGACCACTATCGGCTCTTTGTAGTTGATTATTTTTCGTCAAGGCTCAACTAGGACCAGGTTATCTGGCATGGTGGCACTGAGGAAAAACTGAGATGTGGGTTCCTGTTAAGCCTAACACAAATTTCTCCAAAGAATTTTGCCCAGAGCCCCAGAAACCAAGCTGTAACTTTTCCAACGAAGGTTAAAATCAAGGGCACGCTGTAACTTCTGTAACCAAGCCACTTGTTTCAGTTCAATTCATTGTTGTATAAAAGTAATTGGGAATCTATCATTGATGACCCTATCATACCCTGTGTTTTCCTGCCTTGAAAACATGTACAGGTCATGCATTCATGCAATTTTGGAACGCTCAAATATCTGTATATAACAAATTTGCATTATCCTTTTCATGTCTGTGAATTCGGACTGGTTTTCACTAGGGCATTTTAGGTTAGACACATCACAAATAGTGAATTTGTCCTCTGTTCAGAAAACTTCTCAAAATGACTGTACAACAGGAAACCTCTTGAAAGGAAAATAAATAAAATCCACCTACCTCTAATGCAATATATCTCTTTCGTTTAATCATTACAAAAACTGAAGTGTAAAAAAACAAACTGGATGTGGTTTCTACATGAGCTATGTGCCGGCCTGTTTCTTGGCTGGCAGCATGAATAACTATTGGATGGATTGACATTTGGTAAAGCTCCTCAAGGTCCCCAAAGGATGAATTCTGGAGAGTTTGGTGGTCTTTTGCCCATTACTGGATTATGACCACATTCCTGTCAGCCTCAGCTGTACTTTGTGTTTAGTGTTTATTAGCGAACCTTCTGAACATCAAGCATTGTCATAGTGAGCATGTTAGCCTAGCGAAGTTAGCAGCTAGCATGCCCGAGGACTCTTATTTACTTTCTGTCTTCACCACACAATGCCAAAATTTGTGGCATGAGTAGGCTATCATACAATACCACTACAGTAGACAGGAATCAGTACCCCAATGTTTTCATTTCAACACATTTTTATTATCTTAAGTCACAAAAACAAATAAGCAGAGTAAACACAGTAAATTAAAAAATGGATTTCAGAATGTTGTTTCTGCTTGTAGCGAATCCCTGAGTATAACAGTCATACTGCCGGGGAAACTGGCCTGCTTGGCTCATCTTGAAGGCAGTCCATCTTGCATATTGCTCCTCTGCTTTGAGCCTGCGCTTCTCATTCTTCATCTCTCTGTGGTACCGGTATTTATCAACCCAGTGTCCAACCTTCAGCAGGGTCTCAGTGAATTTGGGTGTTTCTGTTTTTTCTAAAGCAAAAAGAAGATAAACATTTAATTAGTTCTATGAATGAATTGAATTCCTGCTTTAGCTAACAGCTTGCTTTAGAAATGTGTGATTTTTGTGATTGAAAAAGTGAGCTGGTGGTGATATAAATATGAAACAAACCTTTAGGCTTGGGGCCTGGTTTTGCAGCAAAGAGGAGATAGGTGGAGTTTTTTGAGTGGAACTTCTCTTTGAAGGGCTCACTGTCAGGCTTTTGCTCTCCAACCCAGTTGTTGTGCAGAGTTTTCTTTTTAACCTTCAGGTCAGAGGTCAGGAACTCTCGATCAGTTTTGTCTCCCACCTTTGGCAGGTAGCAGAGCTCAGCCTCGTCTTGCCTCGGCTCTTTTTTCAGAGCACTTGAAGTACACCTGGACCATTTGACCAGCTCCTCCTCCACCATCATCACCTTTTTCCACCGAAGCCTTTCTTTCTGAAGTAAGTCTTGTTTTGTTTTCTCCAGGGCCTTTTGTTCATTTGCCTTCCTCTCCTCCTCCTCTCTCTTTTTGGCCTTGTGCCTCATCCTCTCCTCCTGATTTTCTTCTGTCTGTCTCCGCAGACTTTGTCTACCATTTTCTCTCTCCTCTCTTTCCCTCTTGAACTTCTCCATAGTCTCCTGAGCAAGTCTTTGTCTGCGCTCCATCTCCATTGCTCTCAGCTCTACGTACATCTGTCTTCTGACCTCCTCCTTTCTCTCCTCTGGGGTCAGCGTCATTTTGCTTTTCAGAAGCGCCATTTCAGTAAGGAAGGAACTGTTTTGCCTTTCCTCCATCTTTGCTTGCTCTTTCTCTGCTTTTGTAGGTGAGTTTGAACTGATGTTTTCATTTAAGCAGGTTTGTTTTAAACGATGCCACCAGACAGGAGAGTTCGCTGTCATGTGATGTCATGGAATTCTTTTTGTGACATCAAAATTAACATTCTAAACTTGGAACATTCTAACTGAACAGAACAAAAACGTCCATATAAGGCAACATGCTGCATAACTACTGTGTATATGCTGCATAACCACTGTGTATACTTCAGCCATGTTTTCAGCACTGCTTGCAGCAGCATGGTGTTAGGGGTGACAATGCTGGTCTATAGTTGCTAGTGGGTGCATCACTTTGGTGCAGAATGAAATATATCAACAACAATTGGTTGGATTGCCAAGAAACTTTGTACTGACATTGAAGTTCCCGGGAGACTCACGTTTTTCATTGCCCTCTCTACTGGTTTTCTCCCGGGGTCACTAGTCTCCCTATTTCCCGTATGTATCACGGTATTTGACACACAACTCTCTCTTACTCTTTCTGGTATTGTACAGCCTAAGCGTATGTGCGTACTTTGTGTTTAGTGCTAATTAGGAAATGTTACCATGCTAACACACTAAACCTAGATCAAAAACTTTTTTCCAACCCCTACCACTATTTAAAAGCTCAGTAATACTTCACCTAAAAATGCCTAAATGTTTCCTTACTGCCAATAGATCTGGTGAGAAAATATTGATTTATTTTCTTTGTTGGCCAAAAGTACTCAAATAGCCTATAAATGTATTGACTAAAATGTACTAGAAATCTGCCAGCTGTACAGTGTAAATTCCCCCTGGATTACTAAAACTCTAAATTGTCAGAATAATGGCTGAAGCCTAAAGTGTCCTCAGTGAACACATTGTTGCTGTTTGTGTATTATATTGTCGACTGACAAATGTATTACTGATTTGCAATAGTCACAAGAACCACTTTCAATCGGAGATTCTTTTAAAAGTCCGACTCTGGTGGGACTCGAACCCACAACCTTTGAATCACTTCTCATGTGTTTAACTAGAAGTCCAATGCGCTATCCATTGCGCCACAGAGCCAGGTACATGCTGAAAGGGTATGTTACGCGAACAGGAACTTCTTATTTTCATATTAACACGGTCTGATTTTAAAATAAACTTGAGACACGTATGCGGATAGGAAATCTATATGAGGAGTTAGGTGTTAAAAACAAGAAAAAGGAAAAAACTCACGCTGTTTTTTTAATACGATAAATATGCACTTAGGTTATGTTTCAGTACTTGTACTCATACTCATGTTATGTCGATGGTATGATCCGTTTATGAGTGTGCTTAGTTTGTTTGTATGTACTGTTGCGTTAACAAATAATAAATAAATAAAGTTCAAAATATCAATGCTAGAAAACTGTTTCCTGTTTTCCCCGGAAGTAGTTAGCAATCAGCTACAGTTAGCTGTGTGGTTCATGTTGTGATTAAAGGACGCTAAAAAACAAAATGTCAGAGCATCCGATTACAGTGACAGTTGCATACGGTAATACGATTTTGCATGCTCTTACACGATTATTACCAGATAACAAATATGTAATTTCACAAACCATCGACCATCGCATTGGAGGTGATATAGGAAATGTTAGTGAATGTAGCTAAGCATAGCTAGCTCTTAGTTCTGTTGAGTATATTTTTATGTCTCTTTAAAATCCTGAATAAATTATTGCCCTCGGATGAATATTACAGTCCGATTTCACTTATTAATTGTTTTTTTTTTGTAAATCTGACTGAATAGTTATTTCACAGCGGCATATTTATCAAGAAAATGTCTAGTTTAATTGGCTCACGTTTGCTTTAAATTGAAGGTTACAAGGTTGTTTATTTGTCATTAAACAGCTCAAGGCTGCACAACGAAATTAAATCTGTAGTTCCTTCATGCTACACATACAACATATGTGTAGGCCTGTATGAAAATTTGGTAACATATAAAAATTTTTAAAAACAATAGATATTTATATACATATGTACAGACACGTATACACCCAGAACATTCACCAGTGCATTTTTGAATTTGCATCTTGCCGAAGTCTTGCGCTCACAGCTCACAACATGGACTTCTGCCGAGTGCTTGAACCGGGATGTTGATCGGACAGGTCTCTATAACGATGTGGGCACAACAGTCTCTGGTTTCCGTTGTTTGGTCAACATGAGTCCCATTTTGTCAAGACCGGATCTTTAGCAGGAGAATTAAGTCCAAGCTGGACCAGCATGGCTCCTCTCCTGGCTCTCTTTCTCTCCTCTGAACGATCAACGTGGTCCGCGGCGCCTGGGCCGGTTGTTTGGGCCAGGTGGATCGTGGTTTGCCGCTCTTTAATCCAAAAAACCCCGTCTTCATCTTCCATTGACTGTACTTATGTCAGAGGTAGCACATGTTTAGGCAGTAAAGCTGGAAAAAACAGATAAAAGTTTGAAGGAGCTACCAGCTGCTGCTTCTAAAATGTAGTAGTCATCTATATATCCAAGTAATCCACATCATTCAAAGGTTAAACAAAGTCATCTCTCACTGTTTAGAAAGTAATTCCCACAGGAAAGTGCTTATGCTGATATTGACTTTTTTTTCTCCCGCTCCAGGATCTACTAAACACAGCATCACATTAACTGGCCAGGGTGATGGCAAGGGCCCCACTGTCAAAGACCTGTCAGATGCTCTCAATCAAGCTACTGGAGTTCCACAAACCTCACAGAAACTCATCTTCAAAGGTAATCAGTAGGTCTGTTTTTTCTTTCACAGCAAGGTGAGCTTGAATATTGTATCATCTGCATCCAGCTCTAACCTTGCCCTATCCGTCCTGGCATTTTAGGGAAATCTCTGAAGGATGTGGAGGAGAGTCTGTCCAGTTATGGAGTAAAAGAAGGCTGCAAACTCATGTTGATTGGAAAGCGGGTAAGGCCTTTACATTGGGATGTCTCTCACGGGGTGACTGTGTATGTAATTAAACCCTGACAATAATGTACAAACAGAACAGTCCTGAGGAAGAGGCTGAACTGAAGAAGCTGAAAGACATCGAGAAATCTGTGGAACAGACGGCTAAAAAGCTTGAGAAGGTAGACGGGGAGTTGACTGGACTCAAGAATGTAAGCAATCAGTTATGGTTTTTAAGATGCAATTTGGGTCTGCTCTGTTCTCCACTATATTTGTGTTGAAATTTTATTATCACGCATTTTTGTCCACAGGGGTTCCTGGCCAAAGACCTCCAGGCAGAGGCGTTGGGTAAACTAGACCACAGAGTGAAAATAGCAGCTGAACAGTTCATGAAGATCCTGGAGCAAATCGATGCTTTGGTGATCTATTTTGGTTCAAGTGTTTTAATCTCATGTGCATGTTTTTAAATTATTTTTCATATTTCACATATAACGAACCCCAAACTGTCTCTTCTTTTAACAGTCTCTCCCAGACAATTTCAATGACTGCAGACTGAAGAAAAAGGGACTTGTAAAGACAGTGCAGGTAAACCCTTTTTCAGTATCACCAAAAATGTTTTCATTGAAAATCACTGAGAATGCTGACTAATAATATTAAGTATGATCATTCTCTGTCAATAGGATTTCCTGGCCCAGTGTGACAAGATGGAGGCTTGTATATCAGACCACCTATCAAAGATCCAGTCGAAAAATCTTGCTCTGGCGGACTAGAGCTAAAAGGTCTACCATATCATGTGATATACATTGCTCTGTGAGCAACTGCAAAGTGTACAGGCGGCTTCAAGTGTGGAGCAGCTCCTTGTCTATTTATTGTTGGTGTGATATGTATGAAAGAGCACTCGTCACAGAGAACCCTGTGAACAGAAGGAGGCTGGTTATTGGCGCTGACGCTGGGTACATCTGGGATACGTTCTCCTTGAGATATTGGAACCACAGTCACTCTGAGAAAAGGAACAGATGTGCTTTAAATTGTGACAAATTAAATAGATCCCCTTATAGCATCTAAAACTAGTGCTGAATAGAACTGCCACGGCCATCAAATTATCCACAATGTCGGAAAGCTGTTAAGATTCTCTAGTTCATCAAAATGTACAATAACAGAACAGAAATCATTCTCATTGTGATGTGCCACGTGTCGAGTGCCCCTTATCTCAGTTTGTATGCACATGGCCAAAAGTATGTGGACACCCAAACATTAATAAAAAGGATTTTCGCTGGATTTTAGGACCTGGTTGCAGGGCTCATCAGTAACATCAGGCACTGATGCTGGGCGATAAGGCTCATACTCAGTGCGCCACTTTATTTCTGTAGTATTGGATAGGGTTGAGGACCTGGCTCACCAAATTGGGAAAACCATTTCTTCACTGTCGTAACAGGAAAGGGTCCTCTGCCACTGTTTAATATACAGTTGCATAATGTACAGTTGCTGGATAAATTAGTTGATATTAATCAGAAACTATTTTGATAATCATTTAATGGTTTGCCTTGTACAAAAATCCTAAAGATTCTCGCTTGCTGCTTTTCTTCACCATATGTAATAGTAAACTGAATTTTGGGTGGTCACTATCGTCTGACATTTCATCCACCAAAGGATTAATAAAATTAATTGAGATAATAATTGTTAGTTGCAAAACTAGTCCACACAATAAAAGATAGCTCAAGAAGCACACAATGCTGTACGCATAATTTTGGCCATATAGTGTATGTGTGCATTATTCTACATTGAGAGTCAGCACCAGCCAGCACCTTTTGTTAAATCCATTAGTGTGAACTGTTGAATTGGTATTGTTTAAACATCACTAAGACTGGCACATATCTGTTCTTTTTGTTTGTTTTAAAATAAAATCTTATTGAAAAGTGAATAGAGCATCGGTGATTCATCTCAACACAAATTCATCTCAAAACTTTAATTTCCTAAACAAATTATATATAAATGAATTAGTCAAACCAAACCAGCCACAATAATATACTCCTTGTTTATTTCCGGCTTTATCCATGAAGGTCTTTCTCATACATCTTCACTAGCTTATACAGACCCTTTAGTGGTGTTTTCACAGATGTGCAAATGAGCTTTGAGAGTAAAGGCTGTTGGAGCGGGGGGAGGCGGGTCCAGAGGTATGGTCCAACAAGCAGCTTAAACAAATGACCTTCAGTGAGCTATACCACAGTGAAGCTTGTCATGAGCCAAATAACAGTATATAGCTGTACTAAGTGGAAACCCATTAAATATACACACGATTTACAGAATAAGCCTTGTCCAGAGCTGCTTCTGTTTCTAATCATCTTTGTCCTTTGCGCCGTGCTTCAGTATGCGCGTGAATGCTACATAGTTGAAGTTGCCTTTCTTGTCGATGGGCGCCTCTCGGAAGAGCTCGTCCACTTCTTCATCTGTAAACCTGTCGCCCATCGTAGTGAGCAGCTCCCGCAGGTACTCCTCCTGGATCACACCTGTTGGAGAAGACATTTTTTATTTCCAATTGAAAAGGAGGAAAACGACCCCCATGCACACCAGGTTTCTGCTATTATCAATAAAACAAGCACACCAAATTAACTTAAATTACTAGTGTATTAACAGGAAACGGATTGCCAAACAATTTAAATAACAGATCAAACATTTAAGTCATTATTCAAGTAAAGACTTCAGTTTGCTGACTCTGTAATTGACATAAAACTTAAATTTCTTTCTTTGACGTCACCTTGTGACTAAATGGATGTTTCCCATCTAAACACCCCCCAACACATTCATTTTTTATAATCTTTCCCAATTTTATATTTTTAAGAAAATGATTCACTCGTAATTAAAGAAAATTTCAGCATAAACCATACTGGAAAGATCTATTAATTAAGGACTTAAAAAAATGTATGCATTAATTGAAACGGTTGAATGCTCAAAGTCAACCAAATGAATGCATTCACATTTTTAAGTCCTTAATTCACAAACGGAAATTAGTTAAAGCTGCAATTAGATCTTTCCAGTACACTTTTAATAAAACGCAAACATGCCCTGACAGCTTTGGGTCCGGAGACATTGAGAAATAGCGCTGCAAGATACAGATCACAGTATACAAAGCTCACACATGTATAGAAAGCTTGAACTCACCGGTGCCCTCCTCGTCAAAGCAGGCAAAAGCGTTACGGATCACATCCTCGGGATCTGTGCCATTCAGCTTCTCCCCGAACATGGTCAGAAACATGGTAAAGTTGATTGGGCCTGGCGCTTCATTCATCATTGCCTCCAGGTACTCATCAGTGGGGTTCTTTCCTGGGAAATGTTCACAGTAATGAGGATTTATTACACTCAAGCTCACTCACTACCCATGCTGAGAGCATGTTGGCTTTACAAAAACGGGTGTTGATATGTTTCTGCCTAGTTTCATCTCTAATCTTTGTTAAATTACTACTCATTTGTTACTTGAACAAACAGCATTTAGTACTGTTTTGAGAACAGGACATTTACTTGTAATATTTTATGTCTTAACTAACTGTTAAGTTTTACCTAATGAGGCCAGCATGTCATGAAGGTCTTCTTTGTCAATAAAACCATCCCGGTTTTGGTCGATCATGTTAAAGGCCTCCTTGAACTCCTGGATTTGAGACTGGTCAAACATAGCAAATACATTGGAGGTGGCGCGCTGGGGACGCTTCTTGGTGTTCTTTCCCTTGGCCCTTTTGCTCGACATGTTGGTACTTGGTAGGTCCCCCCTCCTGTAGAACCAGATGATATGAAGGCTGTCAACTACAGCTTGACAATATGATCTAAAGTCTATATCACTAGTGTCAAATTTATCTTGATAATAAATGTTTAAGTGCTACAGATGTCTGTTCTTTATTTTTCTGGCTTATACATTTGTGTGGATTGATTACAGTAACGTTTTGACCATGTTCAAATAAGGCTTCATTAATCCAGGCTGGGATTATGTAAGCAAAACAATCCTGTTAATCTTAGATGAACTTGTCTTAAAGTGCAGTTAGAGCAGCAACGATTATTCGATTCATTATCAACTATTAAAATAACTGCCAAATATTTTATTAATCAGTCAAAATTCTCTGATTTCATCTTCTTATGCGAATATTTTCTTGTTTCTTTACTCCTTTATGTCATTAAACTGGATATCTTTCGGTTGTGGACAAAACAAGACATTTGAGAACGACATCTTGGTTTTTGGGGAAACACTGACATTTTTCACCATTCCTTGTCATTTTTTAGACCAAGAAAAGTATTGACATAATAAACGACAATGAAAGGAGTCGTTAGTTGCAGCCCTAGTATCAGTGAGCTTTTGTTTTGAAATAGAAACGCAAGGAGAATGGAAGACAGAAACAAACAAATGACCAAATTTGTAGCAAACTGAGGTCAGTCATTATTAATCTTACTTATATACTGTGATTTACCTATAATTTCTTAAAGTCACTCAGATTGACTGTTTCAACCATGTGTGTTTTGTGCTCCCCATTAAAATATCTTTCCTGGTTAAATTTATCTTCAGTCAATTGAAAGTTGAAATGATTTCACATATGGGGGTTTCGCCTATTTATTATTTAAAGTTTTCATCATCATCATCACTCTAATTTTGAATGTGGCTGCGCTTTTGAACATAGTGACCTGTTTTCTTCAATCAGGGCAAGATTTATTTATTATTTATATAACATTTCAAATGGAGGCAATTTAAAGTTTTTAATATAGGGAAAGAAAATCACAGCAGGGGTTACAATTAGCAATAAAAACCATCAAGCCAACTCAGGTATCCACCTACCAGGAACAGGCCCCAGTTTAAGATATGGACCTCTGTACTGGACTTTTATTTGACAAATGTATAAATATAAAGCTGTTCTGAATTTACTTATATGGAAATCTGGCTGTTTACTTTTTGATAACTGCGAGGAGAGTCAATTTAATTTGGTAAGAGAACCACATTGTTGACATTTCGATTAAATTAGTTTTACTTTCCAGCTTACTGTTAACTGTCATTCGGTTTGCACAGAAAATGATGATAGCGTTAGCCTGCCACACATTAGCTGACAACAAGAAATGGAACAAACGTAAGTGGCCCTGAAATATTTATGGTTCTGAGAAAGTCATTACCTATACTGAGGTTGTAACCACATGGTTGTTACATATTTTGGCCGCCCAGCGTCCTCCACATATGCCAGGTAGTTTCACTTATGAGCTAACGTTAGTCCAGTGTTGACCTATTTGATAAATAACTTGACTGACCAGATTAGCTTGCGCGAGCTAACCAATATCAGGTCTCAGGACAAAACATTACCTTTATGTGCACAAGATTTAGAGGCAATAAAAACAACACAGCAAATTAAATACCCACCTTAGACAATACAAGCGTTATTACCAGATGTCTGCTGATTCCACAGGCTGATGAAGAGGAACCATCAATGTTTTATTTTCTCGTTCCCAAACTGACCAATCACAGCCGGGCAGGAAGCAGCCTGGAAGATTCCATGTTGTCTTCATATGGACCAGTGTGTTTATTTTACATCTGACCAGTTGAGTTGGTTTAATCGTGGTAAGTGGAGATACTTCAAAGATGTGTAGGAGTTTTAAATTCTCTCACACATAAATTAATCTGTTATTTTGATGTTTTTTATTCATATTTGTCCAAACGCCAAATTATGTAGCTCACACACTCCACCACCAGGTGGCAGCAGTTACTAACAAACCTGTGTAAATTGCCCAAAGCATTGATCCAAAGTGGATTCTGTTGCGATCAATTTATGTCTCAATATTTAATTGTGGTGTAGACCAAGTAGTCTATGCTTTGCCCCTTTGCACAGCAGAATGACTGCATATTGTTCACAAACACGTAAGTTGATAAACTGAACTGTAGGTTTAGCGAAATGGAGACGTTTAAAATGCTTTAAGGTGATATTTTGGTTCAACCCTGCCCTTAGAGTTCGCCGGTGAATGCACGTGTTAAGATAGACTCAAAATGTTCGGCAGGGTTTTGGTTCAGGCTTTTGCCGTCGTCTAAACGATGGGAGTTTGTATATACTTTGGAACAATTTGTGTCATATCGTTGATAGCAGCCTCTTACGTACTGCAGCTCTTCTTCAGTCAACTTCTACTAACTAACAAGACCATCGATTACACACCTTCAAGTCCCACATTTCCCCCTTAAGTAACGTTAGGCTACTGTACACGGCGGGGGGCCAGGCCTAGCAGAGGCTCCTCAACTCGCCTGGTGCTTGTCGTGGTCTCATGGTCTAAATTTAAAGCTGTCCCAGCCTTAAAAGGTCCTGACGGTGTCTTGTGCATTCTGCCGAGTGGCAGCATTATTTTTGTTCTGTGGACTGCCGTCCTGTCCACTGCCCCTCACCCTGCTGCTTTGCCTGGATCTGGACTTGCTTTAGCTACTTTTGGAATAGCACACCCTTTCTTTTATTTTCAATTATTGTGGATTGGTGAATTCTTAGTTGTGGTGAGTGACATCTATTGTCTTTACTAATAAGTCTAATATTATAGTTTATGTCAGTTGATCTTCTGTCAAAATCCAGTAAGGCCTGATGGCTTCTTTTTTATTTTTTGGTTTAGTAATTTGTAATTAAAATCTTTTTTATTATCCTCTATACTAACATGGTTATGTTAAAGTGTTTCTATTTTGTCCTTGTAGATTAGATCGCATGTCTCATTGAAGTGAAATGTCTTTCTAATATAAGAGCTAATCTATTCATTTAACAACAAGTTTTTATCACTCTTTATGCTCTCTGTGCCCTCATGGCTTATAGTCCAGTTTACAGTTGCTCTTTACAAATGAAGAGGCATACATAACACTGCCTGTTGTAGGTATCCCTCAAGGACATAACCAACAGAAAACACACTTTAAGTCTATTGTCATAAACTGCAGATCTTATTATTACCATATTGATCTGTGGTTACATGATAATGGGCCTGTGCCCAGTGGGAGCTGCTCATGTTTTCAGGCTGTATAACATGAGTAATATCTACAAGAGGTGAAATGATTCGTCGATTGATCGAAAATTATTTTGCAACAGTCTCCATAAACGATTCATTTTTTGAAGCAAATAGGGTGTTAATTCAGTTGTTCCAGCTCCTCTGGTAATATTTGCTTGTTTTCTGTGACAACTGAATACCTTTTGGGCTTTGGACTTTTGGTCGAACAAAACAAGCAGTTTGAATATGTCAACATTGTCTTTAGGACATTGTGAAGGGGATTTTTTACTATTTAAAAACAAAAAGATTATTCGATAAAAAGAAGTTCATCACTTTTATAAATCCACCTGTGGAGGGGATTGTCATTTAATTTCTCATATTCTCTTTGAAGACACTAAACCAATGTTCATCTGTTATGCTGCCACGATTATTTATTTCCTGCTGCTTCTTCATTTAACACAGTAGAAGTAGATCTTAACCAGAGCTAACGCTTTAGCTGCTCACACAAAACAAAACGTCATCTTTACAACTGTAACATTTACTGGTTGTCTCAACCACCATCCCTACAACCTAATCACCATCTCTCCTGCTCTGATCTAACCCCTAATTCAGAAATCAATATGTAATAATAGCAATGAGATTTGATTGACAGAGCTGGTAAAGTAACACTTGTATTTATTCAACATGACACTGAAAAGGGAAGTCTGATATTATAAGTTGGCGGAGTGGCCCTCAGGATGTCAGGATCATTACAAGTGATGCAGAAGCAGCAGCGGCATCATCACCAGCAGGAGCAGCAGCAGCATCACTATGAGAGCAGCTGTCACCTGAGCAGCAAGTCGTCTGTTAGCAAGCAGTCGTTCTCGACTTACAAGACCACCACCCGTCGGTAAGAGGATGGCAGAGACGCAGATGCTGATGGTTGATATTTGAAAACTGTTATATTAAAAAACAAGGTTCTCTTGATGTAACCTGCCGTATTTCACCTCGTAAGTGGCGAATGCATTCAGGCAGACCTCTCAAATATTCAACCCTGTGCTTTAGGTGCTCTGGTGCGGAGAGAAAAGACATGCATCACGGTGTGATGTGAGGTGGTGCCGGCTCTCTGCTCATCTTGTAGTGATGTCACGGTTTTGTATTTTTATAAACATCATCTTCCTTGAGGCAATTGCAGAAAAGCCAGTTTTTAAGTCTTTTGGGCCAAGTTCAGTCTTTCTATACAAACTAAAAGTCAAGTTACAAGTCTCTCAGGTCTCTGAATTTTGACCAGTGCTTATTTAAGCGCTTTTATGTTAATTGTGTTTGTGTCACAAAGCTTAAAGCGAGTCATTACAATGCAAATTCCTGATTATTGAATATTCTAGCTGTGAGGATATGCAAGACCTGTGAGACATTCACTTAGGTACTTTTTATTGTTCAAAGATTTTTCTTCAGGTCAAAACTAGAGACAAGAGTGTTTTTTGTCAATCAATTTAGGGAATCAAATTTTAAGTCAAATCTCAAAGTGGTCAAGATCAAGTCAAAGCAAAAAATCCTAATTTTTATTACTTATGTCTGAGTGTAGTCCAATTCTTAAGTCGAGTCAACAGCTCTGGGCTGTTGTAGTGTTTGTAACTGTTAGATCTACGTAGCGAAAGTATTGTGCTCATGTGCTTATTTGACAGAAAGAGCTTTAATTTGCACCATCTAAAGCCAGTTAGCATCTTTAAGTATTAGCATATTAAAATACAGTAATGTAAATCCCAGCGAATGCAGTAACACAGAGACAATTAC